AAAAAACCAAACAAAACTGCTTCCATCAGTGATAAGTTTGGGCTAAGTAATTAGCAAGGAAGACCTCTCCCATGGAATTAAAAAAGGGACGAAAAACTAATCAGTAATCTGGCTGACAGAATAATCCGAATGAAAATAAGTCCGTCAATTATGGAAACAGAGAAAAGATTGGGGTAGAGATTAAGTATTAAATGCTTAATGTGCCACCGGCACTAGGAGCCTTATCGCGGAGGTCAAACCGCGGTCAAAGGAGCTCAGGAAGTTTTCAAAGGTTCTCCTGGAAAAAGAAGCAAAACCAGCCAGAGGAGGGGAGTATTTTTTTTTTTTTTACTCCTCTATTATTAACTGCTCTTTTGTAGAGTAGGAATTTTACTTTAACCTCTCTCTCGCTAGGCGTTATCTAGCAAAGAACCACCCCGACATGTAGAAATTATGAACGCAACTAAATTAACCCCCACTGAAACTAAATATTTAAGAATATTAGGTAAAAAACATATCCTTTTACCAACCAAATATAAAAAGCCCTTAGTGGCTGGATGAAATAAATATTATGCGGAGTATCGCAGTATTGAACGATTATTAACCATCAATCAGGAGTATTCGCTAAGAACTGGCACTCCGATTGGCAATTATTACTTTATTGTAATTGACTTAGATGACTTGTGAGCCAAAGAAAGAATAAAAACTAATTGATTTGTTGAAACCAATAAAGGTATTCATCGCTATTTTTTTATTCGAGAACTCCCAAAAAGTTGCTGATTAGTAAATAAAGATGGTGAACCGATTGGTGAATTACACAGCAAAGGTCGGTTTATTGTGGGAATAGGGAGTATTCATCAGTCCGGAGTTCGTTATACTTTAAAAGGCCGAGTCAACCAAAAATGAAGTTCCAAGATAGAGAGTTTAAAGGAATTACAAGACTTTTTAACCGAAAGAAATATCTTTACTACTCCTTGGGGCAAGAAAGGAATTGAGAATATCAAGGATTTAGAACTTTATCAGCCAAAAATTAAACCTTAAATTCTCCTGACAAAACTAACTCTTTTGTTTGCGGAAAAGGAAAAATAAAGGTCTGGTTCTTACTAAACCAATCTAAAAAGTAAGAAGCTAAAAATAAAATGTTAGAAGTAAAATTTAGTATATGGCAAAAAAATCTTTAACTGTTCTGCCCACTAATCAATTACTGCAACAAGTTTGAGATTATCTGATTAGTCGACCCAATAAAAAAGGCGAGTTTAAGAAATTAGAGCATGAATGTCTTTATCTCTTGTGCTGAAAGGTCGGATTAAGAATTACCGAAGCCATTGGTTTTGATTTATCTTTGGAACACCAAGAACTCGCTTATAAAAACCTTTACTTACTGCGAGGCAAAAGACAAAAAGAAAGATGAGTTTATGTTAGTTCGGAAATAATCAAAGAACTTAAAAAAAGAAACTGACAATCCAATACCACTAATCGCATCAGTTTTTTTGATTTCTTGGAGAAAGTTAAAAAAGAACTAAATCTAGCCAACAATATCGAATTATCCCCTCATACTCTCCGCCGTTGCTTTGCTACCTACAACGCTATTTCGGGCATGCCTTTACCCGTTTTACAGAAAGTGTTAGGACACTCTAAAATTAGCACCACCGCTTTATATATCAAAGATTCTGATTTAAGTAATTTAGTCAAGTTTAGACCAGTTTAACAGCAAAAATAAATAATATGGTAACCAAAACTCCCATCACTGGTAAAAAACAATTAACTGAAAGAATAGCAAAAAAAACTAAAACTCCCCAAAATCAAGTAAGCAGAATAATTGAAGAATTGTTAGAAGAAACCAAAAAAGCCTTAATCAAAGGTGAAGAAGTCCGTTTACTGGGTTACTTCTCCTTCCGAACAACTATGACTACTCCTCGGATAGCCATGAACCTCCAAACTAAGAAAAAAATGAAAGTCCCAGCTAAAAGAGTGCCGAAGTGTAAGTTTAGTTTAGGTTTAAAAGAAGAAGTTGCCAAGAAAAAATAAATAACTCTTGATAAGAGTGAAAGAGTAAAATAAGTTAATATTATTATGGTAGCAAAAAAAACTAAATTAAAAAATTTGAATATTGAACCTCTATCAGTAGCCAAGTATTTTTATGAGAAAGGAATAGAGGATATGGCTCTTTCTCAGCGACTAATTTATCTTTCTTATCTAGAAGCCCTCAAAGATGGCTATTTACTTTTTGGAGAAGAATGGCAAGCCTGACCTCATGGTTCGGTAATTGAGCCAGTTTTTGACAAAATGCATGACAATCGCCATAATCTAACTAAACTTTTTAAGCCGGTAAAAGATATTGATAATGAGTTAGTGTTGAATTATGTTGACAAAATCTTTAAAAAACACCACAAAACTGAACCATATATCCTTTTCGAAAAAGCCCAAAATAAACCTTGAAAAGACGCTCGTAAGCCACTTAAATCAGAAAGAGAGATTGCTAAAATTCCTTTGGAAAGTTTAATAAAATTCACCAATGGCAACGGCAAAAGAGACAGAGCAATTTAAAGAATGATTATAGTTTTTGATAAATTATTTACCGAGTGTATTCACGACTCTGAATTGCATAATAGATTAAGGGAAGATAAATTAAGAGGAGCATTGAGCGTTCTACTAAAAAATTTTGGAGAATTCAACGATTCAACTTCCAAAGAAATTAACCAAAGACGCAATTGCCATTTTATTAATTACGGAACTAAGTTAAAAATTATTGACTTCTTTGACAAATATGCCAAAAAAAGAGAAATTAAGTTATTCGTCTCAGAAGCC